ACTGTTTATTATAATAAAATAAGCATTTTCCTACAGTTGCGCCTGAGTATAAACATGGACAGGTTTTCTGTAGATTTAATTATTTTCATTGAAGGACTTTACAAAATAGACTACTTGTAAAGTATAACCATAACCAATGAATGAAATTTCAGGGGGAAGCAGTAAATTAAATGAATTGTTTTCAAGAACATTCAAATTCATTCAAGTTCAGGCATCTCACCAGCCACGGCATCCAGGGGGTCATCGACCTTTAGGACCTTGAGGATCAGCTGACTCCATCCACAGTACGCCACGCCTGCCACCACACCGATGATACAGGCAGCCCAGGGGTACACATTGTTACAACCTGCACAGATGGCCACCTGGGGGGGGGGGATTTGTTTCATACAGTTATTACACTTAACAATAAACATTAGCCTAAGGAATAGGATGATACAAAAAGTCAATTTTCTGTCAAAAAGTCATTTACAAGTAAGTTGAATCAACCTTTAACTCCAATGATAAACAAAGTGACATTCAGGAAGTGAAGATACCAATTAAGATGCCTAATTATGAGTGTGTTTAAAAGCTGGGAACACAGCCTTTGTTTGTTTGTTTACATTCTGGTAGTTTGTGGTGGTACCAGAAACTCGAGTGTGCCTCGTGTGGGATGTTTGGTGCCAACCATAAATGTTGCAAATGTATTTTGTAGTGTATTTTGTTTACAAAGTTTTAATATTTTCGTGCAAAATGTTACATAATGCCCCTTTAAGCCCACATACGTGTACTGCCAAAGTGTGATGCAAGGTGCACTAAGTTGAGTGAACTTTCAACTGACTGTCTGGTATAGAACATGATTGTGCTACAAATGTAGGCTAAGTGTATAATTCTAGTGGGAAACTGAGATGCAATGCTATGCACTTTGGTATGCACCTGCTAGGTGGCGCTGTAGTACAAGTTTTTGCCTGACTCATTTCATTGGCTGATCATGACTTGACTGAACAAGTTCAGCATGACATGATCATCTGGCTTCTGGGCAAGAAGGCAAATTATCCTTTACCAGAGCTGGTATGCTAACAGAACATATTAATAAGTAGAAGAAAGTCATTAATGAATTTTTGTTTCTAATTATTTGCAGACAGGCCTTCCAAAATGACCTAAAATCTAGCATATTCCAGCAGCTATTAAAGTTTAAACAAAGTTTATGATATGTACGGTTAAAACCTGTGCAAGTGACCACCCCTACATAAAAAACACCTGGCCAATATCACCACTTTTCTGTGGTCCAGTAGATGTTTTTCAATCTTGTCTATAGTGACAACCTGTTCACATTGACCTATTGGTCCCCCGAGTGTACTGTTCTTGATCAGATTTAACAGTGGTGATAATGGTGAATGCAGCAAATAAAAATCCACATACACCTACATGCATACACAATGTATGTAAACCCAATACATGGACCAGTGCAGGTTAGGTGCAGATGGACATCAGTAATACCTACACAGCTTCAATTCTACCTGCACTAAACCTGCATGTACCCAGTACATGGACCAGTGCAGGTTAGGTGCAGGTAAACATCAGTAATACCTACACAGCTCCAATTCTACCTGCACTAAACCTGCATGTACCCAGTACATGGACCAGTGCAGGTTAGGTGCAGGTAAACATCAGAAATACCTGCACAGCTCCAATTTTACCTGCACTAACCTGCATATACCCAGTACATGGACCAGTGCAGGTTAGGTGCAGGTAAGATATCAGAAATACCTGCACAGCTCCAATTTTACCTGCACTAACCTGCATATACAATGTACCCAGTACATGGACCAGTGTAGGTTAGGTACAGGTAGACATCAGAAATACCTGCTCAGCTCCAATTTTACCTGCACTAACCTGCATATACAATGTACCCAGTACATGGACCAGTGTAGGTTAGGTGCAGGTAGACATCAGAAATACATGTAGTGCACAGATGCACCTTTTACCTACCATTCCAGTCAGTGCTCCGTTCAGGGTTGTGAGCAGACTCCAGTGCAGATCTCCCAGCAGCCCCACACGCTTTATCACCATGGCGATCAGACCAGCACTGGAACCTGGCAGGGGAATGTCATAGATTAAAAAAGTTTTTATCTAGTACATCTACATCACTGGACTCAGAAAGTATACTAGTATTCGTTAGGCTTCTGGCTTCTAAGATTTTTTCATGGATAGCAGTGACCAGTGGTGAAAAGGTGCTCTTCTGGTTTAATTCTTAAAAAGTTCTAAGTGTTGACTTGGCTCATAAAGTTGAAAAGTTGGACTAAACTTCTTTTAAGTTAAAACTTGTTCTATCAAGTGTAATAAAATATTTTTCAAAACAAACCTGAAGTGTATGAAGAGGCTATAAGAATTGACTACTTTCTACCTGACAATGCTGTACAATCAAAATCAAATCTCTTTTAGATCACTTTGATTTAATTAACACAAAGGTTGTTCATGATCATCACCAATTGCCAATAGTGGCATTTGATTTATTTTATTCTTTCAAAGTACACTTTCTTGTAAAATTAGCAAAAGACTTTGAAATTATCTGAGCGCAACTTTATGATGTGAAAATTGAGTCATATCAGAGCGTCACTGTGTAATGCTTAGGTCACATTTCCAAACCGGGACCCGGCCGGGCTGTTTGGATGATCGAAAAGTTAACAATTCATATCAGGAATATACAGATATAGAGCCCATGATTGTTATTAAGAACTTTTCTGTGTTTTGTTGTCTTTCATATCAAATTTTTCGTTCCCAAAAGCTGCCCGGCTGGGCCCCGTGTGGGAATTGTGAGTCACAATGATGTTTCAGAGCACGCCCCACTGTTATTGCGGAGGTCACAATGTGACCTCCGCAATAACAGTGGGGCGTGCTCTGAAACATCATTGTTGAAGACTGGAACAAAATTCTATGGCACAAGTTGAGTACTAGTACTGTAGGTCCTCACCAGAGATGACAGTGTTTGTGATGGCCAGAGCGACAATGACACCGTCTCCAGGGCTAGAGATGGAGCCCTGAGATCCACCGTTGAAGGCCAGGAAACCAAAGAACAGAATAAAGGCACCCAGAGCAGCAAGCTGTAGGGAGAATTAAACAACATCCCTCTATTCACACATGGCAAAATAATTAATTTTACAGGACAAAATTTAGTTTTTTTTAAATACATGTATATTGTAGGTTGGTTATAGTGTATTCTTGGTTCCGAGTCGAGCACTCTGCCGCTACACCACATGACCCCACATTTTGTTGATACGGCATTCTAGCATAATCGTGAAGAAGAGAATTTTCATTTGGTATCGCTCAATACTTTATCTTAAATCATCTACCAAATCAATTAATCCTGGATGGATAAAATAAAAAAAACACATTGGTAAATGGGGAAAAATAGCTGAAACATTGTAGAGAACACTTTTGTCTGTTATTCAAATATGTAACCATAATATTCATTGTTTTCTGGTTTTATTTATCTTTTTCTGTGTTCTACATGTCCCTTCAGTATATAAGTTTTTCTGTGTGTGTATCTTATGTTTGTGAAAATCAATAAAAAGGATGATTAATATAATAATAAAAAAATCAATTAATCCTAACAGCACCCTAACTTTTGGAACAGTTAGAAAATTTATGCCGTCAGCAGTTGTTGATATACTGTATAAGCTTGTATTCTTCCAACAACGGACATTCTATAGTGAGAACCCCAGTTTTTACTTAACTGTCAGAATACTTAATTCTTTCTTCTATTATATCACAGCCACCAGCATATACATGTACATGTAGTATACAGTGTTATCTAATGAAATGGGTGTAGTTATTACGTAAGCAAGGAAAATTATGTGTATCATTAACATTCAACCCAAAATCACGATGAAATTGTTACATGTAACCTACTGGGACAGTGTGGCCGGAGATCTGGACAGGTTTCCCACAATGGAAGCGTCCAATCCTGGGACCGACAACAGAGGCACCAGCCAGGGCTGCTGTACCACCGACAATGTGCACCACACCACTCCCTGCAAAGTCCTGCAAAGAAACACATTTATAATTATGTTACAATTGATAATTGCAGTTTCCCACCCTAAAAATGAATACAACAATAATGCTCCAGAGTGCTTTTGTGGCATAATATTTCATTCAGTTATGATAAATATTGTTCAGTAAGTTTGTACCAATGCAGACCACAGTGACTATTATATTGAGTCAAACCTGTACAAATGGCCACCTGTTACATAAGGACTAATCTCCAAGCAGATGATATGGTGGCAAGGCAGTATCCATTACTTTAGCCAGAGGAGGTGGCTAAGGGACACTCCTCCAGCCAATGGAACTGCCTTGCCAACAAATATCTGCTTGGTGATTACACAAGGAGCACCTGTCTGAGGTGAACACTAAAATTCTTGTGGTCCCTTAACTTTCTAAAAACTTTTCCTATCGACACAAGCATTATGAGAGTCCTCAATTTCAATAGCAAACCATCCTGCTAACAAGAAAAAAAAATTGACATGTACCTGAACTATAAATGCAGCTGTCAAAACATTTAACAGCTTACTGTATATTATTTTCTTCAGGCATGAACTTGTTAAAAATATCTTAAACATTACCTGGTAGGTGAGTCCAGTCCCCACACCTGTGAGGAGCCAGCCCTGGGGGTCCCAGGCCCAGTGGGCTGCAACTGGGTACACCACACCTGGATTGGAAGTTGTGCATCATAATGTTACACGTTATAAATTTGTCACAAAAGCAATTTAGGGAAAGGAGTGACAAATGCTGAATCAGAAACAATACTCTTTAAGATAACCCACAGGTCACAAAGGCTTAATTTATTTTCTGATGACTCAGCATTTTGTCAACTTGACCAAATGCAATTGTGACCTACAGATCTTTTAACTCTTAAGAATCCATCAGGCTTTTTTGTTCTTTACAAATAACTCACTTTTCTAAAAAAATGTGATTGATTTGATAGAAGAAATTATGTTAAGAGATTGTCCTGCATCAGTATTTTTAATCACTATTTTAATTATTTATCTATTTTATTTTTATATTTCAGTCCATACCATGGTATGGATGAAATATATTGTGTTCTCTGATGTTTCTTCTCCTTCTTCTTCTCCTTCTCCTGCCACACAGTCAAAGGGATTCAACTCCGCCATCATTCAGCCAAATGACTTGAAATTTGGCATGGAGGTAGAGTGAGCCAATACCCCCAGGCGTTTTTTTCATTTTTTGATACATGCCTTTGAAAAATTTTTATGAAGGTTTCTTGGGGCATTTTTCGCCAAAAAATGGATTTTTGGATCCTGAGCCCTGGTTTTACAACCAAATGATCTGAAATTCGGTATAAGGGTACCTTGAACATGTGTCTACAGAATAGCAGTCACATATTTAGCATACACCACTTCCAAATGACTCATTTGGGGGACTTTAATGGCTATTTTCAGCAAAAAAGGGCCAAAAGTGCTATACCCGTTCCATGTTCTATCTAAAGAATGGCCTGTTCCATCTGCCGTTGGCCATGGAACACCTGTTCCATTGCGGGTTACCTGAAGTCACATTGCACGTAAGTCGTACGGAATGACCCACACATTCAATTTTATGTGCCTAAGACCTTCAAAATGTATCAAATCTCATCATTGTTAGTATTTGCATACCTGTAATAAGACTAGTAAAGCTTTCGAGATACAATGTGCTTGTTCTTGCATCTTTGATCTCAATTACATAGCTACTATATAATTCATTTATTTGAGAATCTTTGCCAGTTTTACACTGGGGTAAGTTTGGAATAGTCCACTTTTGCGTGGGAGGGAGATGGACTGAAATATGCTGTATTTGCTCCCAAGCAAATGTCGGCCTCTCTAGTATTCACATTTATTTTTCGAGGATTGGGCAAAAAGTTATGAAACTTATGTCAGCCCTCTCTTCACTATTTTAATTAATGGTTTATATGGAAACAATCTCAAAGCACTAAATTAATTTCTCTTAGTTAGTATCTGTATCATTCTTCATCTGTATAGCCGGTACTGTATTGTACTCCCGACGTGATGTCATGATGATAGCCGGTATAACCGCCTTTCGGCATAACACTCCAGCTTTTTAGTACACTTGAAGCAGAACTGTGACAGATGACCTGGCATCCATGAACTATCCTGGCGATCAGTAAAGAAGGTGGCCATGCAAGAAAAGACCCAGATGGAAAGAAAACTTTTGGCCTCACATATGCAATGTCTTGTGAAGTTAAGTACATTTTGTACAGTGTATGTGTTTAGATCAACAAGGCTTTACATGTACTACCTATTAGTAAATCATGTTTAAAGTCAGGAATCATTTTCTTGTGTTCTCTCACACCCCCCCCCTCAAAAAAAAAAACCTACCGGTGAGTACAGCGCAGTACACCAGGTATGCGCTGAACTCTGTCCTCTCCGCCATGGCTCCTGACACGATCGTCGAGGCGGTGGCCGCGAACACGAAGTGGAAGAACCAATGAGCGTACTGCGACCCCTCGATGCCCTCCAGGAAGAAGTGGCCATGTCCAATGAAGAGGTTGCTGGGAGTTCCGAATGCGAAGGCGTAGCCAACTGCCCAGTACGAGATGGCTCCGATACCTGTGGATGACACAAAAATTTTATCTGATTTTCTACACCAAAAAAGTTGCGTATTGATCAACTTCTAATCCTTTTGACGTAGCAAACTTCTACCTGGCCTTGGAAGTAACTAGAAAGAGTAGGAATTGATTAAAAAAAACACTTAAATCTTTTTTTTTTTTAAATCTTTCTTTATTGAATTTTCCAAAATAAATTAACGGTTACAGAATATGGCATGGCATTGTGCAAAAAGGAATACATGGTGAACCACAAAAACAAAACGTAAGATCCAGGTACAATAGTGTAGTGCAAATTTTACAGATACACCCTGTTGCCCCTAATTACATGGTTTAAAATTACACATGGGATTTTTTTTAGACTCTTTTAAATATTTAAACACTTAAATCTTAACCATTACATGCCAGGGGCTTTAATTTGGCCAGAGTTGCATGGAGATACAGTTTTCCACAAATGACTTATTATAAATATACTCCAAAGCAGACTTCCTTGGCATTTATCTGACTATTTGACCAATTTCTACTCTTTCTCAAGCCTCAAGTAGATTAACTCAATTCTCAAGCCTCAAGTAGATTAGCTAGTAATATAATAGTAAGATTTTACATTTGAAAGTCAATGAATAAATATTGAGTAAAGAGACTCTTTTTATACAACCAAGTCTTTTTTTCAACCAACGTTTTGGTGACCGTCTGTCACTTCTGACTGTCACTTCTGACTGGTTGACATTGCATTGTAGCACAGGTGTCGCTGTTGTGTAAAAAGAGTCTCTTTACTCAGTGTCTTGTTCAACTTGTTAAAAAAATTGTCAAAAGAATGTTGACCTTAAATCTTAACTACTGGTAAGTCTAATTCTACTTTATAATTTGCATCTTAATTGTTCCATTGTGGTGCTTTCTTTGATTCAGACCACCTGCAGGCATAATTCTAATTAAAAGTAGATTATTAGGCAGAGGAAACAACAATCAATCAAACGCTAGTGAGTCACTACAATGCCCGAGGAAAAAAATGTTGTGTTTCCTGTTTCCCAACCGACTCTAGAAAAAACTGCTGACCCAAGCCTTTTTGGGTGGACCCCTGCAAGGGACACATTTTTCGAGCTGATGAAACTATTTTTAGCTCCATGATCTGACACCTGTGTGATGAGACATTACAATTGGTTTTCTAACATTGATTGAAAATATATATGTCATCATGCAAGTTTTACTTTGTCAAACTGTATTGTATAAGCAAGGAGCTTCTTGGTATAAGTTGGATCACTAGAGATTGCCTAAAAAGTCTAAAAAAAAGGAAAGAAGACAATCCCTACCTACTGACCCTAATTTTTTCAAGACTGAAACAGGAAACACAACATTTTTTCCTAGGCCCTGAGGATATTAACTCACCCCATTCCTGTAATACTGTAAGTCACACCTTAAACATAGCCTCCTTCGCAGACTTGTAGACCTTAGACCTTAGTTCCTCCTGTGCCTAAAAAGTAATGGCACATTGGGCAGCAAGCTTCCACTTTCACAGCAGACTTGTAGGCCACAGCGTTATTTTTTTCCGAGGGAGTTTTGCCAGGGAGAGACGGTTTGTCACAAAAAATAATGCCTCGCCCTACAAGTCTGCAAAGGAGCCTAACACATATTCTTGACTGAGACATTTTACTTACAGACATCCAGTATGTTCTTGAGCAGGATGTTTGTGGTGTTTTTGCTCCTGACTGATCCTGCCTCTAGGAAGGCAAAACCTGCCTGCATGACTGAAAAAAAAGGATGAAAACTTGTTAGGAGTATGTTATAAGGACATATCGAATCAATACTGAGTGCAGAATTAAGACTTAAATGTTACAATCCGATTATGGGTTGAAGTATTTCGATCTGGTCAGTTTACAATGTATTAACTTAAACACATTTATGCAGTAATGGATTGAACTTGAAGATTTTCTAGTATCAATTCACTTTTCAGCAATTAATGTTAATGTTTAGATTAAAGTTTAATGTTTTAATGTTAATATCAATAGACATCCATCACTGGCTGAACTTTATATACATAACACACTATAGAATTTTAAAAAAATGAAAGTGTCACTGATTATGAAGTAGATGCAGGGCGGGGCCCAATGTATCATTTGTAAGTACACATACATTTTGTAAGTACCTTTCATTACTAAGTCTATGAGAAAGGAAATCTTGTGACTTTTACACAATCCACCTGTAGAAAGTGGACCCAAAATGGGAACAACATTATATATTAAAGCAAAACCTGTCCCACATGTGTCTTTATGGGCATATACATGTAATCACAATGATGGGTGGTCCCAGGACCCTACACTGTATCATGTACAAGCAGGGAATTTTTGCTTTCTTTGCAAGTTTTTTTTTAGTCAACTGAAGAAAACTGTAACTTAAGCATGCTACCAAGTGAATAGATTTTGAAAACATTTCTGACGTTTCAAGTAGCATCCACTACTTTTCGTCAGTACGTTGCTAACCAAAGTTTTACTGAACAGAAAAACTGTGTGAATGAGGCAAAGACATTTTTAGACAATGCATGGGCAACAAAATAAGCTAAGAGAAGGTGAATTCTAATGTAGTCACCTACTAGTAAGTTTATAAAGAACTTAGGGCTATTCCATAAGTTGTTTTTTTTTTATAAAAAAAGGAATTAAAACTATGTTGACACCCCTTTAAAGACTTATAAATGGTTTGGTCTGACACCTGTTTTAGGAGGACCTATTATACCACCTGGCCTATAGGCAGACAAAAATGCTCCATATATTACTAGTAATGTTTTGAGTGACAGTCATTATAACCTCTTCTCCAGCATCACTAAATGAACCGACAGAACTCACTCTTGTGTTCAACTGTAAAAATGACAAGGCACCTAACTCGAAAGTGCCACTAATAAGTAAATCAAGAAAGAATTCATGTGTAAAGAAAACACATTATAGCCATAGGAATTGCTATTGCAGTACTGCTACTTGACATGTAGTTGTCTCTGTATTTCATACAATAGTATAGCTTTAAACTGTCTATGAGTATCATTTACATAGATACTATCTAAACCTCATTCTTTATTTGGTTCTTGTAACCTGATATGATGATATGCAACCAAGCATATCTGTAAGTGGGCTATCACCTTTTCTCGGCTTTTCTGACTGTGTAAGTCTCAGTAACTTTGCTTTAATATTTGTTGCTCAAGTTGCTACTAAAATATCACGCATGCCTTTTTATTTAGTTTTACCACAGGATCATACCCATAAAGTACCGGTATATCAAATTGTGCGTTTTCAAATTTAAAAAAAAAACTGTACTTTTTTTATAGATCGGAAATAATTTTTTCAAATTTGGAAAAAGAATCAACAGTGAAGTATAAAACAAAAATTATAAGTGCCAACAGACAACATGTTCCATGATATGGAGTTAGTTAATTCGATAAAAAAATTCAAACTCAAAATATTTTGATTCCGCCTCTGCCCAGCTGGCGATCATTAAAAAGCGCGCGTTTTCCCGAAACAAAACATCACATCGATTGCACAAACATATGCTGAAATCCACATTTCAAGACAAGCAAATTTCAAAACACACACATCCCTTGTCAACTTACATGACGAAAATGCAAATAACTTATAACTTTGTGAATGAGGCGTTAAAAATGCAAAGTTAGATTTTGTACTCACGAAAGACGAAGCATCCCATCATGAGAAGGAAAAACTCGTCGGAATTTCCGACCAGAGCTCCTAGTTGCTGTTCCATGGAAATTTCCGTCCATTCGGTGGTGTTGGTTGCGTTGTTGACCATTTTTGCAGGAGATGTGTCTACCTGTGTGCCCCAAAGTGTACTGTAGAGAAAGAAGTGAAGCGACGTGTACACACCGGGGTTTATCTTGTTGTGGGTATTGTTATGGTTGGCTAGGAAGGGTCCACTCTTGACAAAAGGGGGATCAGATTTAAATAGTCTCTTTAGATTCTCTTTTCTTTGAAACAGTATAAGACAATTATTGTACACAAAAGACTTCATACCTTATACAAATATGTATGATATGGTAAAATTGTGAGAATTAATGGCAGTAAGTCACTACAAGCATCTTCATCTTTCAACGTCATCCCTTTGTCATGGACTCAACCATTTGGCGCGAAAAATCGAAGTAATGAAATCGGAGACCAGACAAGCCCTGGGGCGGTGTTCACGTGAAGGAATCATGATCACGCACTGTGCACGTGCTAAGGGCGGTGCGGAATGTTCCGGTTTCTGGATGGACATTTGCTGACACAAGACAAAGGAGTGCTCAGTTTTACACTCCTTGGTTTTAGGATGATGCAATGACACAGAAGCGTACATAGTCAGGAGAAATATACATGTAGTAGGACCATCTGTTGTTTTTTTTAACAAGCTGGAAAAAGAACTTAATAGAATATGGCAATTACTAAAGATAGCGGAAATTTACGTATGGCAGCGCACTAGTGACATCGGAAAATAGCGTATTTTTGTTGCCCCTTATATTATAATGCGACTAGACTATTGTTTTCCTACTATCCCTTATGTTTTTTGTTTGAACCATGGAGGTAGAAAACCTCCATGTTTGAACATATACATGGAACCTGCTTCAACAAGACCATGTGTTGATTGGACAGGTGTTCATATGGCCGATTTGAATGAAATTAAAATACTTCCTCGTTCCTGGATACCTGATAAATCTTATAAATAAGGGCTAGGGGCTGTTACGTTTTTATATGACATTGTAAACAGAGTAATTCTTCATTTGACAACAGATGGTAGCATTCAGCAGAATAATTCAATAAGCAGCCTTTTCAGACACTTTTAAAATAATACTAAAAGATTCTAAAGCCGAACAGCAATGCCGTAATCAGTGTATTCTCTACTTCTTACCTACGCTGGCTATATATAGCAGCATATTTGCCAGGGGAGTTTGGCCGCGCCTTGGGGTTTTGTCAGGCTGGCCGCGCAAAGAAACAATCTCCCAGCGGCCGGACTCCCCTGGCCAATTTTTCTCTCGTTTTATCGTGATCTGTATTCCTGAAGAAAGTCCTGGTGGAGGCTCTGATCAGTGAACGTCCGACAGGACAGTGACATTCAAAGCGTTCATGATCAGTGACCGTCACACCTTGTCAAAGCGGCTTTGAATTGGAGCAAAAAGTCGTCTGTGTTCCGAGCTAGAGCTGTGCACTGTTCTAGTTCTAGAAAGAGATCAGATAACACTATCCTCTAGAGGCTCAGGTGAATCAAGTATGAACAAGGAAGATTTGCGCATCGGAAGGTGTTTGTATCTATATTTGACAAAACTGTGAATTAATATCATGTAACACTTATACATGAATGAATACATGAATGAACTTTATTGCTCAACAATCGTACAAGGTACAATGTGTGGCAGTAATACAACAATATTACAAAAGTTTACTTACTACAAACAGTGTGTCAAACTACTATTTGAGTTACCATATGGTCATACGTATTGATGATATGTTCTCGCTTATGGAATAAACTTATAAAGTGTACAGAAATTGGCCTACATAAGGAGATATGGTAGGTGGACATGACAATAATTCATGGAATGTATCGTACTGTGTACCAGATTGGTTTGTCTTAGTAGTAATAGTCTGTAACAATGTATCTCTTCCTTTTCTATAGGTGGGGCAATTACTAGTATATGTTCTTCGGTCCGTGAATAGCAGTTAATTCACAATACTCTAGCTTCCGGATCTGAATTGATGCACCAAGCTTAAGGTTAATATAACATCACAAAACCACATTGTATGGAAAAAGTCGATAATTCGTCTGCCACTGCCTTACTTGGCAAAAGATATAACATCCATTGACCTTTATCCGTCACATATATCAGCAATAGTGAAGTGTTGCCACTTTATAAAAAGATCAAACAGCATTCTTCCCCCGCTATATGTTGACACTATAGAGTACCTTTGCCCCTTTTGTTGAATGCGTTTTGCTGTCTCCTTGATGCCTCTGTAAGAAAATTATCGCACTGAATAAAACACGACTGAATTGCGTTGGAGACAGGCATGTTCTAAAAAAGATGAACCTTTATCCGTCACGAAGATACTCGTCATAACTCTCTCTTTGTTATTTACCTTTTAGACAAGGACTGTTATTTCTTTTTCCGTGGTTTGAGAGTGTCTGAAACTCAAGCTGTCTGGATAAGGCAAAACGAAAGTTCAGCGTTGAAAAATGTCCGTTTTTTTCTGTTCTCTGTCAATGTCCCGAAAAACATCGTCCTGCGACAGATTCGTTCTTACGTTCCACTGCCGAGTCGTGGCTGTTGTAAATCCTTTGGTTAAATCCTTGGGGCCTGCGACAGCTATTAAAATGCGAGTAACTGACGATGGTTTGCACTACAGTCGGTAAAAGTCATGCTAACAAGCAGGCGGAAGCGGAGACCCGGAAACTGTAACATGATAACACAGGTCATAGGCCTGTACCAAGAGCAAATAGCTGCGGGGGAGCGG